GAGTAATTGGCGTGGAAAATGTAAAGTAGCCTTTTTCTCTCTCTATATATACATATATATATATATATATATCTATCTTAGTATATTAGAAACAAAAACCACACTTAAGAGAAAGCACCACCATTTGTCATGTGGCATTTTCACATTATATTTTTAAAATAAATTTTTATTTTCACATCTCCTAGAGTTAAAAGGTAAATGCAGTCCAAATCCACCTGCACCTCCTATTTTCGCCAAAAAAAAAAAAACCATGGGTTCATAAAAAAACCCAAATCCTCATCCCCATCTCTACCACAATAGACTCCCTAATCAATCCCTTCTCCTCAATGAAAAAAGAACAAATTCCTCATCAATCATCAGTTGAGAATATATGGTGAAATATACCCCATTCCAATTACCATGTTCAATATTTTCATTAGTGATGATCAACTACATCCTAATCGGATAAAATTTCGACTTCAAAAAATATTCTTTTTACCTCTCTATATAAACACAAAGGGAAAAAAAAATTCTCATTGATCTTGCTTCGGCCGTTGTGGTGGTGCAATTACAGGTATTAAAATTTAAATGATTTTATTTTTACAGATCATTTGTTTGGCTTTTATTATTTTTTATTTTTCTCATTCAAGAATAGTGTTATTACTACTATTTTTATGCGTCCATCCATTACAGCTACCGTAGCCGTTGTCAGGTAATATGATGTGATTTCTTATATGGTTAGTTAGCCTAGAATTTTTTTATGATTTTACTTCTGTTTGGATTGAATTCATTAATTGGGTTTTTGTTATAAAATGTGGTTTTTTAAACTTTGTTTTTATATTTCATTCAATTAGAGTGGTTTTCTTTTTTTAATTATGGAGTCTCGATTTTTTTTCGTATATGGTCAGTTATGAAGTGTGTTTTTTCTTTGTTTAATTATTTTTTATTTTGTTTCATACTTCCAGTTGACCAATTATTATTATTATTATTATTATTATTATTATTATTATTATTTTATTTACAAATGAAACATGTTTTTTTTGTGTTCGGACTTTCAAGAATATGCTTTTTTGGATTTGATTTTTGGACTTTTTTTAGTTCCTCATCATATAAAAAGTTCAGGTCGATTCTTCTAATTAATTTATGGGGAAACCTTTTATGAATTTGAGGCGGAGAGGGAAGGAATGATGTTTCTACGTTTATTTGTGTTTTTATACAAATAAATTTCTCAATTTTTAATGGGCTATCTTTTAATTTCTTTTTTTTTTCTTTATTTGTCATGGTGAGGTGAGTTCTTTTTTGCTATAACTTGAAACATATGCAAATTTACATTATTTTTATTCTCATATTTGTGATGAACCAGTTTCAAAATCATATTTTTGATATTTTATTACCTATAAACTTTTGGAAGAAATAGTTCCAACAATTAAGCGTATACCCTTGGGAAGAAGCTTACTACAAAACTATTATAAATCTCCAAAACTAAGTATTGATTTGGCACAACCAATGGAAAACATCAATAAATTATCTTACTAATAATTAAACTTATTGGCATGCTTTCATATTTTGTCTAGCATTTACTTCAAAAGATATATTTGATCAAGTTTATTTATATTTAAGAAGTAACACTTATAAAACATTTCTAAAATCTTCAAACATTTCTAAAATGTACCGGACCAAATACAATTTCTTTTTATGCCAAATACAAACATTTCTATGATCACACTTATAAAATATTTCTAAATTCTTCAAAAATTTCTAAAATATATCGGGCCAAATACAAAATATTTTTTTTCCAGATCAAACATTTCTAAGATCTACAGATATATTGGACCAAGGTCGCGCATTGCGTGACCAGACATCACTAGTATATATATATATATATATATATATATATATATATATAACAATACCAAGGTTCCATGTGAAAACTTGTGAACTGATATTCCGTATTGGTTAATGGATCTTATGGGTCAAGGGAAGGGATACAGATAGCATGATTTGCGCGTACTCTGGAAAGGTATCGGCTTAAATTCTTGAGACAAATTTCTCGAAACATGTGGAAAATGAGTTCAAACACTATTTGGTATGGAGATGAAGTAATAAAATTATACTAAATTTGGAATTACCTACATTTACTATGTACTATGTAGTTGTGCTTGTGTACTTCGGTTCCTTTCATGATTCCGTCAACTTGGTTGTATTTCTCTTTAATTAATTGGATGAACAGCGGATATTAGTTAGGATTTGTTGACTAACTTTTGTAGAAAATAATTGAAGTAGTATTTTTTTTTTTCTGCTTATACCACATGCATTCTGACTGTATACTTCATTTTTAAACTTTAATTTACCACCATCATATTGCATAAATTATATAAATCCTAACAACAAGACGCTTAAAAGCTGAACAAACTGATGTAATAAGTGTGTTTTTTGTTCAATTACCAATTGCGTCGTTGACCTATTTTTGTTTTTATCGACGGCTGCTAACCTTGGAAATTTGGAAACAAGTGGTAAAGCACTCCCTAGTATCGGACCTACGTTTGTGACAAATGACAAGTGGTGAACGTGGTTAATTGGTCATACTTTTTTTTAATTATCTGAATAACAATTTAATAACTTAATTTGTTGTAACTTGTAAGCAAACATCGCCTTCTAATTGATTCCCAAATATACTTTCTTTTTTTTTCAAGCGTCATGGTTACCTTAATTACTTAATGAATTATCAGAAAACTCCAATGACATTGACATCGATCCCAACATTAAGCTAGTTTGGCCGCCGAATAGTCAAGCTCAAAACACGTGAGTAACATGAAATTTTCAGACAGAACAAAAATTGATGGAAACTTAAATCTACAATTAGCGAGGGGTAGCATATGCGTGCATTTTTATTACGTTACGCTAAGGTAACATTTTCACCATTTAAAACGCCAAAGGAAACTGATTAAAGTCATTATCAATACTCATTTTTTGTCTGAGTTCCATAATCTATGCTTCTCAAGCTGAAAAAGCACAACAAGATTGGTTATTAATTAAAGTGAGACAGAGAGACAAGTAAGGTGAAAATTCCTTCAAATTTATGTTCATATTGTTCCATTTGTTCCAAAATATGTCTAATTTAGAATTTTATTTTCAGTGTAAGTAATCTCAAAAATGAAAATGCAAAATGTATTCATACAAACTAGATGGAATATTGACATTTGAAAAGTACTTTAAGGCTCCGTTTGGTTAGATTGAATTGCAATTGAATTAGAATTATAATACTATTGAATTGAAAATGAGATAGTAATATTGTATTCAATCTCAATTCCTTTGTTTGCGAGATCTTAAAAATTTACAAGAATTAAGGTTCTGATTCCAATTCTTGTGTCTGGATGCATAAAAATTTGGATACTTTAGAATTAAAATTAGTTTGTTACTGTATAACTAATACTAGTACAATTTATACTTCTTGTCAAAAACTAAAAAAAAAACTTATTTTATTATAGATATGTATAACAAAAAAAATAAATAAATTCATTATGTACATGTATATTTGACTAGTTTGTGGTTGTTTAACTAATAGAATTTTTACTTTTTTTGTTAAAACAAATTATTATTTTTAATTAATTTGCTATATCAATTTTGTAATTTAATATGTACACACATTTTTGTTAGAAACAAACGAAATATTATTATGTATAGGAATTATTAATATGATACTTAAAATTCTCACTTAATACACAAATAAGTAACACGTAAAACATCTTTGTTTTCCTCTCTTTCATTATTTTTCAAAATTTTTAACTTTTTATGTTTTGATTTATATCAAAAATTTAAAAAATTTTATTATATAACATTGTAAATTCAGTTTATGAATATTGAGGTTCATTTATACATAGATTAACATTAGTATATAATATATGCTTAAATGTTTTCATTCTAGTATATAATTATATATGAAATACTAGATACTTAAAACTCAGCTTACATATTTTTTGGTCAAAAGATGCCATGAATAGTTTAATATATATATATATATATATATATGTATTATAATATAGGTGTATACATGGAACAATTTCTATAAAAAAAATTGAAAATGTTATGTTGTTTGCTATGTCATAATATAATAAAAATTTAACCCAAAACTAAAATATTAAGTTATTAACTTTTTTTTGGCTACAACTATACTTTTGATTTTTTTAAAAAAAGATATAATGTTAATTTTAGATTGATTTCGTTGATAATTATTAAAATGATATATAGATATATATGACAAAAATAATAATAATGAGACAAACAGTCCAAAAGAAGAAAAACAAAGAAAAGAAAAAAGCGATGAAAGCAAAAAAAGAAAAAGAAAAAAGCTGAAAAAAATAAAATTAAAATAAAAAATATATATAAAAAAAATACCAAAAGACAAAAATTGAGAGGGTGACCCGTTTAGGTTATAACCCGGAAACGACCCGGTTATGACCCGTATATTTTTTTTAAGTCCATAAATTTAGATTCCAATTATTTGATTCCACAATAGAATTGAAAATAAAGAATTGAGCCCATCTTGAATTATAATTCCAATTTTTGGACCTCTATTTTTACCAACCAAACACAAGAATTGGAATTAAAGAGCTCCAATTCCAATTCTTGGTCCCAATTCAATGCAACCAAACAGAGCCTAAAAGTTTGCAAGAAGTTCATTGGGATATTTCAAGTTGGCCCAAGCAAAGGAGTTGACATTGTGTACATAGACTATGTATATATGTCATTGTCTTAATAGAAGATAATGTACTGTATTATTTTGGTCCAATTTGTTTTAAAAATAATGTGTCCCGGTAGACTTCCAACTAATAAACTCCTATTTGCCATGCTGATATGAGCCAGTCGGAGCTTTAAAAAATGACCATCGCAAATTGACAACTTAACTAAAAGAACCTTCCCTCCAATTATTCATTGAACTTATAGCAGTACAGTACTTAAATAACAGAAAATAATACAAAACACACTACCACATGGAAGTAATCTCTTTAAAATGACCCTTTTGATTTTAATGTTATTCAAATAAGACAACTGTTTTGGGGCGGCATGGAAAATATATATACTTGCGAGAATTCATTTGCTTTCTTCCATCAACCAAATGATCATCATGAAGGAAACACCTCATGTAGCTCTAATGCCATCCCCTGGAATGGGTCATATAATTCCAATGGTTGAGTTAGCCAAGAAACTCATCCAACAAAACAACCTCAAACTTACCCTAATCATCCCGGGTTCCGGGCTAAATCCAAATGAAGAAAAACCATTCATAGAATCACTCCCAAATGAAATAAATCTTGTCCTTCTTCCCAATACTAATTCCGACACTTCCATCAATACCGAACCAGTTCTTAGCATCTTCAAAACTGTTGAACGATCTCTACCGTCCCTCCGGAACCTCATCAAGTCACTCGTCGCCACCACGAATCTTGTCGCGCTGATCGTTGACTTTTTCGGGACGACTGCATTCGACATAGCCGATGAATTCAACATCTCCCAGTACATGTTCTTCGCTTCAAATGCAATGTTACTTTCACTATACCTCCATCTACCGGAGCTTGATTCGACCGTTCCCGGAAAGTATCAGGACCTCCCGAGACCGGTCCAGCTTCGGGGATGCATACCACTACGCGGCGAGGATCTTCCCACATCATTCCAAAACCGCGAATCGGGTACGTACAAATGTTTCGTTGAGCAATCCAAGAGGTATAGAATGGCTTCGGGAATTTTGGTCAACACATTCAGCGACATCGAGGGTGGGACCATAAAAGCGTTGGAAAAGGGCAAAAACGTCCCCACAGTCTACCCCGTGGGGCCTATGGTGCGACAAAGCACTGGTCAAACTGAAGAAATGAAGACGGCGAAATCATTCAAATGGTTGGATGATCAGCCTGAGGGATCTGTTTTATTCGTTTGTTTCGGAAGTATGGGATTATTGTCGAAATCCCAAATCAATGAACTGGCTTTTGGATTAGAGCTGAGTGGGAAAAGGTTTGTTTGGGTAATCCGAGGTGGCGGTCTGGATTCCTTGCCGGAAGGTTTTGCGGAAAGAACTAAGGATCGCGGTTTTTTGGAGTTTGATTGGGCACCACAAGCGGAGATTCTTAAGCATAAGTCAACCGGCGGGTTCGTGACCCATTGCGGGTGGAATTCGGTCCAAGAGAGCATTCTCAGCAGCGTACCAATGATTGCTTGGCCGTTATATGCTGAACAGAGGATGAATGCTGCCTTGTTGTCGGAGCACCTGAAGATTGCCGTACGGCCGGGAGTTCGCAGCGCCGGTGGATTGGTCGGGCGGATCGAGATTGCGAATTGTGTGAATAATGTGATGGAAGGTGAACAAGGGAAGAAGCTCCGGGAAAGAACTAGAGCTTTGAAGGTTGCAGGTGAAAAGGCGGTAGCCGTCGGTGGCCACTCCGACAAATCTCTGGCTGAATTCGTAAAAATCTTGAAACTCAAGTAAAAGTTTTGTGTCTTTGTTTTTTTTCATCTTTGTACAGTAAATGCATGATGGCATTGAAATTGTGAAACCATGTGATTCGGTTTATGAATTTCAGATTGGTGTATTGGGTTCATGCAAGTAAATAAATTTTACTCATTTCGTACCGAAGATATGCGCGATGGATTATGGATACAAGAAGTCAAAGCATGATTTTACTAATCTTTTCATAAACATGCACATTGTTCATCAGATTGGTGGGTTGTCAAAACAACAAAAATAAAAGATTCTACTCCTAACAAATTTAGTAGTATAACAATGAGTAGAGTCGTCTCCTCAGGGAGCAAGGAAGTAAAAATATTTCTAATCAAAAGCAAAGTAACAAAATGGGAGAGATTTTGGATTTGTAATTAATGAATAACAAAAATAATTTGCTAGCAATAAAAGATACTTTTAAAAAATCAATAATAAGAGTAACTCCAGTCAAAGGAATAATTTCCACCTTGATGTATCCAACTCATCATTGATGCAAAGATTAACTCAACAAATGATGAATATATTAGTTATCGTTGTTGGAACCTCTCAACAACTCAGTCTTTTTATTTGACTACCAGTGACTAAGAAACCTTCATTAATCACTCTATAGCCAAAAAATACTACCTGGAACCTCGTAGGATTTAGTTTTTGACAAGCAAAGACCCAATTCAATTTCTAACAATCAAACCTTGTTTCATTAAAAATTGATTATTTATTCTCAAAACACGACTAAACTACTTACCAAGTAATTATTTGCATTGTCTCTTCTAAGGAAAAAACAAACCTTGTTGTTCAATAAATTAGATTATCTAGGAGAATTGAATGCTACCAGCTATTCAAATAATGCCAAATAATCATCAAAACACATCAAAGAGAATAAATAAATACTCAAAATTCGTTGGTGAAAAGGAAACAGTTAGATCTCACAATTGAATAACATCAAGGCTTCAATAAAATCCTTTAACTAGAAAAGAGGTTTAGTTGCTAATCATGGTGAAATCAACAACACAAGAAGTTGTTTGACATTACAGAGCTAAAACTGACGAAAACGGAGAGAAATCCTTGTCCTGAGCTCCAGCCGTCGCTCCCTGTGTTGTGCCTCTTCTCCTCCCCTTTCTTAATAATAAGAAAAAGACTATTTCCATGCAAATTTAGGGCTTCTCCACGTTCAGCCCGTCCAGAAATCGCAGCAACAAATTAAAGTTTTCAGAATTTGCAAATTAGCCCCCAAAGTTTGCTAAATTTACAAATTGACCCCAAAACTTTGGAAACTTTGCACTTTAGTCCCTATTTCAGCGTGCCCACGTGAGAATACAATGTCGTTTCTGGACTTTCCTGCTTCTTTCATTGATTTTGGCATGAATTTTGTGTGCCCACGCGGGAATCAACCACTTCTTCTCCAACTTGAAACTTGATTCAATAAAACCTTCAAAATCTGTTCAAAATCAACACTTTTTTTCTTTTTGTTCCAATTCCTTCCTATGATCACATTAAGAACCAAAGTACTAATATTAACATAGATAATATTCAAAACAACACATAAACCACCACAAATATCATGATAATATTAACATTATCAACTCCCCCACACTTAGATTTTGCTTGTCCTCAAGCAAAGTTAAAAAAAATAACTTTTAACTCAAATTGCAAACCACTACTTTGAACCATAAAATTTGAAAATCATTTAAAACACAATCTGAACCACCATGTCTCACATCAATCATAAACTTAATCAATTAGGCAATGAAACATAAGCTCTTCTAATACTATGCATAGTTAACAAGATAGTTGCTTCATCCCTAAACTCCATTAATGATTGGAACAAAATCACCTCACTAGTAACTTCCCTCAATTTCTTTCTTCTTTTCTCTCAAGTGTGGCGTATCAAACAATTCACACAAATCAATATCTAGCAGAATACACAAGAATTTGAAAAGGCGTCACATCATCATACACCAAGCAAATAAACTTACCAATAAAGGTCTTTACATAGGGTTGTAATGGGGCTTTAGGTAAAGAAAAGGGTGGATAATTATGGATGTAGGCTTATTATTTTGTCAAGATAGACCAAGTATATTTAAACTCCTCCATCTTACCAGATATCCCATATAATGGCATTGCTCATCATCACACTTCAGAGTTCAAGTGTGCTTTGCATAAGAACTTGCAGTAAACTTCTCATATTAGATTTACAAACCTATGGCATCTCAAAAATATAATTAAGAACTTGCCATACTCTCAAACAAGTAAAAAATAGGGATTCATGCAATTTTTTTTCTTCTTTTTTTCCGAGCGCCCTATATTACATTAAATGCATAACTTAAAACAAGAACACATGCCACTATAATGTCCAACTCTTATCACAAATCCAGTTTAAGCAATCTAATCCAGAGCTTGACAAAAGGGTAAAGGATAAAAAAAAAAAACAAGGCTAATTGTTTAATATATCTAGAGCTAAAGAAAAAACGGTCAAGCCTTGAATGGTTCACTAGGGGTAAACATAAATGGGTAGGCTTTTTAAGCTAACTTGGCTAAATCCTAGTGTCTTTATTCTTGTGGCAAGCCATCTATAAGAGCACACATGTGTTCTAGCTCCGCAAATTCAAGATTAATCCATACTAGATATGATATACTTCCCGCATAAAAATGTTGAGCATTCAAATACACTAACTCTATTTGCTCAGAAAAGCTCAGATCACTCAATTTAAAGTAACTTTTTTTTTTGGTGATAATATTCCAATCATCAACTTCAACACTTAAATTCACAACATATCTGAATAGTACATAGCAAAGATAAATTTATGTTTTTCATGCTTCACTTTTCAACCTATGATGATTAGCAACATAACAGTTGAAACGTTTGAAAACCAGTGGTTTAGACTCAAATTTTTGAAAAAATTTTATCAAAAAGAAGTTTAATTCTTTTAAGTAAGTAATTTAATGAAGACAAATTTGAAACACACAAACTCCTCCCTCACACCTAAAGCATACATTGTCCTCAATGTATAAAACATGCAGAGACAAAGAATAAAAGCACATACAAACTCCCAAATAATATTAAAGAAAAAACAAAACGGTACTTACCTGGGAATTCGTAGTGGAGGAATCAAACTTGATGTAAAGCGGGAGTAACATCTTTTTGCATTTGATCAAAATGATTGACCACGTAGAAGAATTTTCCTCAAAAGCTAGCTGTCACACTCAAACAAACCATTAAAAAAAAACTAACTCTACATCGATTAAATGATTAAGAAAAATCACGAAAATCAAGAAATCATATATCTCAAGATCATCAGGAACAAAAAACTTAACCACCTAGTCGATTTATTCAAAAAAATAAATAACAAAAATCAAACCATTGGGTTGCCTCCCAACAAGCGCCTTTCTATAGTGTCTTTGGCTAGACACAACATGTACCTCACTTACTCATATATGGGTGGAAGCAAAGTGATTTCTTCCACACAAACACTTTCAAAATTCTCAAGAAAAGGTTTTAATCTATGACCATTAACTCGAAAAATCTTACCGGACTCCAACCCTTTAATCTCAATCATACCATGAGGAAACACCTTCATAACTATAAAGGGTCCATGCCACCTTGACTGCAACTTTCCTGGCATAAACTTGAGTTTGGAATCGAAAATAAGTACCTTCTGGCCAACAAAAAATTCTTTCTTGTGCAAGAATTTATCATGAATAAGATTTGTCCTCTCCTTATACAATGGAGCGTTATCATAAGCCTCCAATCGAATCTCTTCCAATTCTTGAAGTTGCAACTTCCTTTCCGATCCCGCCTCATCGACACTCATGTTGAACTTTTTAACTGCCCAAAAAGCACGATGTTCAAGTTCAACAGGTTAATGACACATTTTACCAAAAATTAACCTGTATGGTAACATCCCAATTGGCGTTTTGTAAGCTGTGTGGTATGCCCATAATGCATCTTCTAAACGAAGACTCTAATCCTTGCGGTTAGGGTTCACAGTCTTTTCCAAAATTTGCTTAGTTTCACGGTTTGAAACCTCAGCCTGTCCATTGGTTTGAGGATGATATGCAGTAGATACACGATGATGTACACCGTATTTGCGCATCAATGCTTCGATTGTGCGATTGCGGAAATGGGTGCCTTGGTCACTGATGATTGCTTTTGGTACTCCGAACCTACTAAAAATGTTAGATTTAAGGAATCCTGCAACAACTTTAGAGTCATTAGTTTGAGTAGCTTTTGCTTCTACCCATTTCACCACATAATCTACTGCAAGCAAAATATAGAGATTACTAAATGAACTTGGAAAAGGACCCATAAAATCCATACCCCAAACATCAAATATCTCACAAAATAACAGAGGGACTTGGGGCATCTCATTCCTAAATGATATGTTACCTACACTTTGACACCTTTCACAACTCTTACAAAATTGGTATGCATCTTTAAACACAGATTGCCAATAAAAACCACAATCCAAAATTTTTCTTGCTGTTCTTTTCGGGCCAAACTATCCACCACATGCATGAGTATGACAATAAGTATGGAATGAATTTCATCATCAGGAACACATCTTCGAATAATCTGATCTGACCCAAGTTTCCACAAATAAGGTTCATCCCATATATAATACTTTGAAGCACTTTTTAACCTATTCTTTTGAAAAGTACTCATACCAGGTGAAAATTTACCAATAGTTAAAAAATTAACCATGTCAGCAAACCATGGTTCCTTACCTTCCTTACCTTGCATGGCCCATAAATGCTGATCTGGAAAGAGTTCTGAAATTGGTTGTGACTCTTCATCACGCACCAACCGGCTAAGATGATCAGCAACAGTGTTATAAGTTCCCTTTCGGTCTTTGATCTCCCAATCAAATTCTTGTAGTAGAAGAATCCATCGAATGAGTCGTGGTTTTGGTTCCTTCTTCGCCAACAAGTACTTGAGGGCTGCATGATCAGAGTAAACAACAACTTTAGTAACTAACAAATAAGACCGAAATTTATCAAAAGCAAACACAATAGCTAAAAGCTCTTCCTCAGTGGTTGTGTAATTGCATTGCGCCGGATTAAGTGTCTTGGATGCATAATAAATCACATGGCTTTGTTTCCCGTCTCTTTGACCAAGTACTACTCCTACAGCATAATGACTTGCATCACACATGAGCTCAAAAGGCAAATCCCAGTTGGGAGGTTGAATAATAGGTGCGGAAGTGAGAGCTCACTTCAATATATCAAAT